ACTGGTTTGTTCCACTGTGGATTAAGCTGTTGGGGGAAGAATCAGTTTTGTTGTGTGTTTCCTTGACTGATGAAGCCTTCCGGATCAAAGGCGAAATGTTTAAGCACAAAAAAAGTAACTGTCCAGATGACCTGATTGAAAAATGTTAGATTGTATACCTAGATTATTGAGCATGGACTTTGTTGTTTTCAACCAGTTTGACAAGATTGTCGACAAGGAAGAGGGCTGGCAATGGATGATGTGGTATATCAAAAAGACCATCTTATCACAAGCAGAACAGGTTATTTCTACTTTGGAGTAATCTGTTTGGGGAAGAATCAGATTTGTTGTGTGTTTCCTTGACTGATGAAGCCTTCCGGATCGAAGGTGAAATGTTTCAGCACAAAAAAGAAACTGTCAAGATGACCTGCCATAAAAATGTTGGATTGCATATCTAATTAGATATACAATTCTAGATTGTCAACATGGAAGAGGGCCAGCAATGGAGTAGAGGGCGTACCAAAGAGACCATCTTATCACTAGCAGAACTGGTTTGTTACACTTTTGAGTAAGCTGTTGGGGGAAGAATAATTTTTTATTATGTGTTTCCTTGCCTGATGAAGCCTTCTGGATCAAAGGCGAAACGTTTCAGCACAAAAAAGAAACTGTCCAGATGTCCTTCCATAAAAATGTTGGATTGTATACCTGGATTTATGAGCATGGACTTTGTTGTTTTCAACCAGTTTGACAAGACTGTCAACAAGGAAAAGGGCCAGCAATGGAGGAGGGGGGTACCAAAGAGCCCATCTTATCTCAAGCAGAACTGGTTTGCTCCACTTTGGAGTAAGCTGTTGGGAGAAAAATCAGATTTGTTGTGTGTTTCCTTGATTGATGAAGCCTTCCGGATCAAATGCGAAATGTTTCAGCACAAAAATAGAAACTGTCCAGATGACCTGCCATAAAAATGTTGGATTGTATACCTGGATTTATGAGCATGGACTTTTATTGTTTTCAACCAATTTCGGCACAAAAACAAACTGTCCAGATGACCTTCCATAAAAATGTTGGATTGTATACCTGGATTTATGAGCATGGACTTTGTTGTTTTCAACCAGTTTGACAAGACTGTCATCATGGAGGAAGGCCAGCAATGGAGGACGGGGCGTATCAAAGAGACCATCTTATCACAAGCAGAACTGGTTTGTTACACTTTGGATTAAGCTGTTGGGGGAGGAATCAATTTTGTTGTGTGTTTCCTTGACTGATGAAGCCCTCCGGATCGAAGGCGAAACTTTTCAGCACAAAAAAAGAAACTGTCCAGATGACCTGACTGAAAAATGTTGGATTGGATACTTGGATTATTGAGCATGGACTTTTATTGTTTTCAACCAATTTGACAAGTCTGTCAACAAGGAAGAGGGCCGGCAATAGAGGAGGTGTCGTACCAAAGAGACCATCTTATCACAAGCAGAACTGGTTTGTTCCACTTTGGAGTAATCTGTTGGGGGAAGAATCAGATTTGTTGTGTGTTTCCTTGACTGAAGAAGCCTTCCGGATCAAAGGTGAAATGTTTCGGCACAAAAAGAAACTGTCCAGATGACCTTCGATAAAAATGTTGGATTGTATACCTGGATTTATGAGCATGGACTTTGTTGTTTTCAACCAGTTTGACAAGACTGTCAACATGGAGGAAGGCCAGCAATGGAGGAGGGGGCGTACCAAAGAGACCATCTTATCACAAGCAGAACTGGTTTGTTACACTTTGGATTAAGCTGTTGGGGGAAGAATCAGATTTGTTGCGTGTTTCCTTGACTGATGAAGCCTTCCGGATCGAAGGCGAAACGTTTCAGCACTAAAAAAAA